GTGTGTGTGTGTGTGTGTGTGTGTGTGTGTGTGTGTGTGTATGTGTATATGTATATATATATATATATAAGCATATATATATATATATATATATATTTATATATAGTACATCTTGTATCTGAAAGAGAAAGTATTTTCAAGCCTCTCCCAGGAAACCGATTTCAAAATCTTTCTCCACACAGGAACAAGTTTATGTAAGTTGACACTTCGCGGCATTTCATCAGGTATGGTATTTTTATTTATTTACATAGTTTGTTTTCATGTTAAGACGTAGAATGTACTGCTGCCCATGTAGCCATAGACGTTTTATTTAATCTAAATATATTATTGTAAATATTCGGTATTAAGAAATGGTTTTAGGTCTTTTTAGGTCTAATTTTATTTAATTCACATTTGGCATATTGCCTGACTGACCATTGAGCGACATGCTTGTGGTAAATAGAATGTAAACTCGTTGAAAAGCAATTTTGAAAGCCGACCTTATTTGTTACGGACCAATGTGTGTAGAGTTTGATGTATCCCGCGATTCCTGACTCCTGGCATATTCACTTACAATTTTGTCTTTCTTCAATATCTGTATATTAAAAAAATGGGGGGTTTTACATACAAATATCTTGTTTGGTTCATATCTGGCCTCTGGAGGGTGTCTGATGCTCGCAAATGCCTGATCCTCCTATCGATAAGCCTGATCCAGTGGTCGATTCCCTTGAAGTGTTTGACTACCAACCCTGTGATACCTTCGGTAAACTAACCCCTAAGCCTAAAGACGAAAGAGACGAAAGGCTGTGCGACTAACGGTTGGGGTGAACTAAAAAGTGCACCGAATGGGTCTGTTGCTTGCAAACGATTGATCCTTCTATCGATAGGCCTGATCTTCCAACTGAGCCTGACCCTTCTAATTACCCGCAACTAATATAAACCTGTGAACGCAAATGGGAAGTGAGAGACGACAAACCAACATACAACGACTCTGCGCCAACGAAAAACCGCTGCGAATATTCAAACAATTGCGCGTCTCTCCAAAAATGCAAACCTGGTTTCTGTGGCTGTTAAGTTTGTTGATGTTTCCTGAGGCTGAAGTAGGGTCGTGGCGCCATCGTCTATTGGCGACAGGCGGTCTCATACTTATGCCGTCGTAAAAATTTGTTTGTGAATAATGACCTAAATTGATTTTCTAAGGTGAAGTTCACACAAGGTTGCTGGCGTGTGTTTTGATAAGGACTATTGGGTAACGTTGTCATCGCCATTGTATGTGGATGGTAAACTTGAAAAACTGAGTTGACAGCCCACTACACGTTTTTCGGGATGTTATCCGATTTTACAAACTTTCCAAATAAATTTTATTTTCTCTTAAAGCCGAGTACATACATTAGTGTCAATTTTTGACGTGAATATCAATTCGAAATACGATCTCGCACTGTGCATAAAGAAAGCACGGCCCTCTGAAAGTCTGTCCTGGGAGATTTCTAATCTAATTGAATTTCTGTTCCCCCGGGGAGACAAGTGTTTCGCACTGAAACCCCCGTGAGACTACCCGAGAGACATGGGGAGACTTAGTGTAGAGTGTATGTTAAGAAGATAAGATGAGATGTATTTCAATCGGTGATTGCGCCCTTTGATGAGAGCTGTACCTATAAACTTGAACGCACACTTACATAACGTACAAGGGCCGTTCCCCCGCCCTTTAACATCGTGTACTTTGCGTTAGCCGCAGAGCACTTGCCTGCTCAGATTCATATACTGTCCAATTTAATACCAGCAGTTTGTTTTTATAAGCCACGAACGAAGCATTTGCAATGCCGTTGCTGATGGTTGACGGCCGGAGCCAAGAATTCTGCTGATCTCACTACTTATAGATCTCACTACAGATAGATCTCGCTACAGATAGGTCTCACTATAGATAGGTCTCACTACAGATATATCTCGCTACAGATAGATCTCACTACAGATATATCTCACTACAGTTAGATCTCACTACAGATAGATCTCACTACAGTTAGATCCTGGGACTTACAGAAATCCTTGTCAACCTTGTTTACTGGTTGTTCAGTGCAGCACACAAGAGGACATACGACAACTGCCCAGCAAAGGTGATTTCTTCATAAGACAGCGCCTGAGAATCAGTAGAGGCATGATGCAGGTATTCAATACGTAACCCTTTCACACCCTCAACTGCCACTGATCCTAGCAGCATACAGGTGACACCCCTCTAACAGCATACAGGCAATACCCCTGAAAGCATTGATTGAGCTCGATATCGAATAACAGAGTGCCAGACGTTTGCGCGATGTTGAGAAAATCAATAGTAAGGGACTTCGGCAAATTCCGATTTATATATACATCTCAATACATCTATCCTACGACCGCCAGCGGCGGCGCTATAGCGAAGGCAAGGGTTTCGAGTGTGTGGGCCTGTGGTGAAGCAGGGTGTCTTCTTGTCCCCTCACAATTTAGTATATGCCTCAAACTAAGCTTACGGCTATCTCTATGCACATATGTACACTATATAAAGCATGTGTAGTTTACGTCTTGTGTATGTATCTGTATCGTCAAGTGTTTCGTTTCGCAGAAAGGGCTTCTCGCCTACGCAGCCGGTGGTACACATCCTGGACGTGCCCGTCTACATCCCACCCTTACAGCATATCCAGCAGAGACATCATGTTCCCCCCACCCTCTTTGGCCTTGCGTTGCTTGTGCCTGGCCAGGCTGAAGGTCCTGGGCCGAGGCGCCTTCTTGACCGTAGTAGGAGGTCCCTTTGTTTCACTATCTGATGTATCCGTCCCCTTTCCCGAGGCCAGATCCGTCGCACTCTCCACCTCAGTCAGTTCATCGTCACTGTGAGTCATGGCGGGCGTAGACGTACCTCCGTCGATACTGCTGCGCTCTGTCACCTTAGCGCGTGACTGCGGCGTGCCCACACCCGAGCCCGGCGCCTGTGCACACACCACCCGATGCCCCGTGAACACAGGCATGGAGTTGCGATTGGCCGCATTCACATTGCGTGACACTGAGCTGGTTCGGGGTGATATCACCACACGCGTGATGCGCTTTGAGCCGGTACAACTGTTGGCTGCGTTGAGACTGGTGTTCGACCCAGACGCCTGCAACACCATCTTGCCCGTGTGGGCGTTTGCTTTGCCTAGGTTAGACGACGACCCCTGCGCACTCAGCGGATCCTTATCCTTAGACATACTGGCGGTGGTTGCAGACGATGTAGCACTGGCTGAGTTCCCTCGGGCTCTGGGGCTGAGTGTGTCTGGGGTGGTGCCCCCAGGCGAGCTGGAGGACTTGTCCCCAGGCTTCATGCTGGTGTTGAGCATATCCAGAAAGTCCAATGAACCCGATAACCCCGTGTCCTTCGCACTCATCCCCGTTTGCATCATGGTGCCGGGTGGTTTGCGGGTATCCCCTGTGTCGTTGAGTGCGTCGGACTCCTCCTTGCTATCTACCTCTGAGCTATTTATAGACTGCACCGTGCCGCTCAGCGTGTTGGCCGATGGCCCGTCCTCGGCTACCAAGGTGCTAGGACTACCCCCGCCCTCCTTGGTTTGGTTCAAACTCAAGGTCGACCCACGTCTGGCCTTGTTGTTACCGCCCAGATAGGCACTGGTATGTGACAGTACAGGCGATGTGATCAGCACCTGCGGCGACGACTCTAAGGACGTCTCAGACATGGCCGGCGATACCTTGTTAAAGCCTCGATTACTATTGCCTGCACTCATGGTCTTGAAGGTTGGGGTGGAAACAGACCCGGACAGGGATGCCCCTGTGTCTGGGGTTTTGGGTGCTTCGTCTTTGGACATGCCGGCGATGAGGTCCTGCTTGTCCTTGAGTGAGAGCATGCCCTTCCGAGCTTCGGCCAGATACGAATAGTTGTACCGTAGCATGTACGGTGCAATGGGCAGTTCCTGTGGATAGGGGGTGTCCAAATACAATAAAGTGAGGGCTCTGGCGAATATGTCCTAAACCAGTATGGATAGTTTCAGGGCTTCCGCGTAGACGCTTTGAGTTCGGTGTGTTTGGAGAAGCCGTAGTAGTTCGACAGGGGATAAACCCAACCCGTTTAGATATACACATATACACACCCAGCCCACGGGGGCCATAACGGCAATACGTTGGGGCCATAACTGCAATACGTTGGGGCCATAACGGCAATACGTTGCACTCATAGGACCACAGGGAGTGTTGCGAATACGAAACTAACGAGACAAAAAGATTCACACAGGCATCTCTTGCTTCAATGGATCAAATATGTGGGCACAGGCATATGCAGAGATAACGCATGCAACGCAAGACGGGATCAAGCATGCCTCCCTTCTTCAGCACCACCGCCTGGTTTAGTCCCCAGGCAACTGGCACACAGGTTTACAACCCTGGACCCTACACCCTACCCTCTAAACTCTAAACCCTAAACCCTAGTCAGTATGTCACACCACCCCTTGAAGAAAACAATAACTAATGGACGAGTGAGATGATGTAGCTCTGTTGTATGCACACGACACAGCCTCGCATGCACACCACTTACGCGCATGTAGAGTTTAACGTGATCGTTGGCCATGGCATCGGCAGGCAGCAATTGCATCTCCTGCAGTTTGTGCACCTGTAGGGGTTCAGAGAAGAAACAGAAGACGTTAATTCAACAGCAATAGGTTTAAACGGGATCAACCGACGCCCCATAGGTCAAGTGGAACACAGACAAAATCACATGGCAATGTACTACATCATAGATTAAACGATCTAATAATCGGAAATGAGTGCGATGCGTAGTCAACAAAAGCAACGATAACCGTATCCAATTGAGCAAACGTACATATACTTGCACTGGTTTTGATGTGGTATATGTAGGTACATATACTTGCACTGGTTTTTATGTGATATATGTAGGTACATATACTTGCACAGGTTTTGATGTGGTATATGTAGGTACATATACTTGCACTGGTTTTCATTTGATATATGTAGGTACATCCACAGATTGGATAAATGTCAAGTTGCGACCAAGCAGTACAGTTTATAGGGAAGCAGGGCATTGACAGTGAATTGTGTTGAACACGGGTTTTCTATCTATATCATCACAGCTTTATATGAATACACACATCATCGTCTACGACTATAGATACCAATACATAAATATACAAACAGACAAACAGACAAACAGACAAACAA